TTTGCGTATCCCATCGATCTGGCCCACAGTCCACAACCAGATTGAGACTGCATTGCGCCAGGGGGAATAGCTAGCCGTCGTATACAGCATTTAGCTTGGTGCTTATTCCTCCAGTCGCTGCGCTGGATTCCACTACCAGTCTTCTTGACTATGCCTCAACACCGGGCTCGGGCGCGATAGATGCTGTGAAAGTCCGTCATTACTATAAACTCATCCACGCGCATCTCACCGTCCGCCTTGCTGCGGGGCACGTGCTCTGTGTCATCGTCCGCGACGCTCGAACTGCCATTCCCCCAGCAGCATGTGTCTAAGCGGATTGTAAATGGATAGAGTGGGTACAAGAACAGGCTGTTGGACATTCACAGTGCTGTTGCACGACGGTCCGCGAGAGATAAAAGGCCTGATTCTCAGACATCAGATTAATCATCCGGCAGACATCCTGCCGACATGTCGGATCCTACGCGGTCACCTTTATCGAAGACAGGCCGGCGACTGACTGGGCGGATTTGGCTTAAGTAGACAGTGCAATGGGCAGCCCTTTCCCTCTCCAGCAATGGAGCCAGGCAGGAATTCGAAACACCGGGTAGATTCCACTCGGCAGCCCCGCTGGGGTTCGGACTCGCGACAGCAGAGCATGGTTTGAGTGCAGTCGACGCTCTAACCGTCCACGTTAGGAGGACCCAGTCGAGAGCCCTGAGTTTTTCCACGCCTGCGCTATGTTACCTGAACAACCTACAACAACCCCCGGAACCAACCAATTCCAATACAGTAGGACAAATGCCCAGGCAGGTTTTCCCGAGTAGTCGAATCAGGCTCACTTAACTACTAGGTATTTTGGCAAATTTAAGTACTGTAATGAAATACCCCATTGTGAAAAACCTGGCGGTATTGGTGGGAGTGGGACCCGCGACAGAAAACGTGAGAATTTAATGCAATCAACGCTCCGACTGAGAGCCTAACATTTTTCGTAGTTGCATCGATGCCAACAATGGATGATAATGTCAACACATGCTTATTCTTCGTTTTTGTTCCACTATGTTCCCCTTGCTACCCACAAGTAAAGTGCCTCTCCGCAATGCGAGATTCAGCCCGGCAAACTGGACGCAGTGCCGAAGATGTGCCGACATATGCTTGGATTAGAAAATCAACGTAGCATAGCCCACTTGTCGTCACATGACAGCGCGTACTTTCAACGAGGAGCGAGGGATGAATGTTATTCAGTCTCCGTGAGCAACGTTTTTGGACCCATTGTGCAATTGGGACTGAGATTAGGGAGCCAGTCAGACGCCCTCCGATCTGGTGTAATGGCTTCCAATTAAACGTTGGTGGGGTCTTCTGACATAATTCCAATAACTTCGTGGGATTCCGTGGGAGTTCCCTGTCTAGCCACAGTCTCCGAGGCGTCCGCAGATAACTTTCTGTACCAAAATGAAATGCCAGAGACTCTGTGTGATTGATTTGCGGAGGGCAGCAATTTTGAAAGAAGGAATTTCAACGCCTTCAAAATCCGATACTACCTAAAAATGAACTGCAATCTAGTCACTTCGTTAGAAAAGTTTGCTCGTTTCAGGCGGACAGCTAGAAAAATTGATACTGCACAGTAGGATGTGCGCGCGGAAGTTCTCTCCCCGCGCATTCCAACCGGCGCGTTTTCACTGAGGCATCTGCAGGCTGCATGTCCTGTGTTCTATGGTGATTTCGTTCAATGTATGAGCCCAGTTTGCCCCTAAAACGGGTCACGCTGTAAATGTTCCGTACCGACATGGGGCAGGCGTTATCGAGAACGCGCACCCGTACAGAATTTTGACATTCGGGGTGCGGTGGCACGCCCAGTTGCAGGCTCACGCCGCGCCGATCGGAATCCCATTTGTTAAAAATCCCCGTCAAGTGTCTACTGCGAACCATGGCGTGTGGTGGTACGCCTAGACGCGCGTTTGCCGTGTCAGCCACCTGCACTCTCTCTTACCTCCGGTCTCCTTGACCTCCTCATGCCAAGGGAAGGGTGCGGTAGATGCAGTGCAAGTGTACTACCGTACGCGCAAGCCATCGACTCAGCTCTTACCCTGCTGTCGAGCAAACGATGTACATAGCCGGTAACGACGACCAAACAGTCGCATGAGCCTGGTTCATCTACAGCTGTCGGAGGAGGAACAGGCATTTGTAGCTCCAGCGGGAGAACTCAGTAGTTAATAACCGAGCAGGGCCGTGGCAAGGAAGGTAGTAAGCGTTGGCATTTGGATTATCTGCCCTCTGTTGGGCGTATAAAGACGCATTCCAATCGTCAAGGGTATAAAGACGAATTCACACCGTAACAGTCGTCTCTGTGGGCATTAATTAATTCTCTATTTCCAGTTTTTTGCAAACAAAGCTATCCGAGGTGAAGCCTGTCTCTGGTCAGGCTATTAGGGGACGAGTTCCGGCGACGGTGACCATCAACTGGGGACAAACTCCCCCCCCCCTCCCCCTTCTTCCACATCTAAGAGACAGTGACCATCTCCAGAGTGATGGTGCATTTGCGCTAAATTCGCTGTATGAAGTAGGCTTTACCTATCCGTAGTCCCCACTTATTTTAAAACGGTTGACGGTAAAAGAAACCCTTAAAACCGCTTTCCTCTACCTAAATGGGTTTAGTTCCAAAGTGTGGTTCAGGGTTAAGCTTAGGTTTGAATATACTGTCATGCTCGAAGTTAAGTTCAGGGCCGGGGTACTGATTGTGACCAAAGTAGAGGGTCGCTATAAGTGTGTTTTTTAACGCAGATAACTCACACAATCTCAGGATTTTGGATGAACTTGCGCACGTTCATGTGGCACATGTGCTTATTTCAGTAGTAGTTCCAAGTTTGGGGCAAAATTCGGCTACTGGCTAAATTCTTTTCCTTTCAAGTCGGCTTGGCGCAGTCGAAAGTTTGGTGAGACGGCCTTGTGACGAATTCCAGGAAGGGTACACATTCCCCTGTCCTGACCCTAACCCCAACCTTAACGGTAGCTTTATCGTTCACCTTGATTCTGCCTTAAATCTAACCCTGAAACTGATCACAAGGTCACGGGGGGGGGGCCCGATCTCGTGTCTCACCGAAAATGTTGTCCTCTCTTTACCTCGGATGCTCCTCTTTACGACCTTTCTGTCCAAATCTTTAAGGTATGTACTTGGCACATGTTTTCAGTAACTCGTCATCAGGCCAAAACAGTTACCTAGAAGTTGAAATTATGCGAAGTTACGGGGCTTATAAGTGATTCAGGGGTTATTAAAACTCATCGTTCCCACACCACTCGCATGGCGAGGCGTGCTATGGCGTGGTCGGTGTGCCGTGGCCATTGGGTCAAGGGGGCGAGGGGAGAGAGGACATAGGCTGAGAGTAATGTTTGTACGTCGGGTACGTTGTGCACACACCACTGCCATCAGGAAGTTCGGACGACGTTGGGGTCGGCATTGGCCACGAAAGGCAGAGCGCCTGTGTCAGCGTCTTCTGACATCGTAGCGCTGGATTGGCTAGCTGTATAGCCGCTGCCTCGGCTGTAGTTAGCACCCGTTGGCGTAGGTCTCTGGAGAAGCTTGCTGGTGTCCGGTAGACAACCTGAAAGGCTTCTTTGGCAAGGACTCGGTGATTCGTATCGGCAAGATGTGCGAGAATAGACCTCGAAATCGATTTTGTTCACCTCTGCCTAGCCAGGCCGGTATGTGTTCACGTACTCTCTTTTCCAAGCGCTTCATCGTACGGCCAATGTACCACACTCCACAGGAGCAAGTGAATGAGTAAATACACATTGACTTGGCCTGCAATAGGAGTCGGTCTTTAAGGTATGTATTTGCTTCAACCAGACTTGTCCTGGTAGCTTTCATAGAACAGTGTCGCCGAAAGTAGCGGATCTTTTGCCGTCGCTATTCAGCCGGGAGTCTAAGGTCTTGACCACCAATTCGGCACATTAGTCACATTAAAAAAGCACGAACTAATCTAAGGCGCCTTGAGCCCGTGTAACTTTATTCCTCGTGAGTGCCACCGCGCGGAGCAGGCAAGGCAGAGAGAAGGCGGATATCTTAGCGGAGACGCCACAAACAGGAGTTGACAATTCAACTGAAATGAAACCCATTCCTGTCGCGGCCCTGAGAACTACTCGACAAAGCGCTGATGGGCGCTGTGTCAGGGAAGTACTTTGGGAACAGCTCTTCCGATGGCACGAGAAACCGCTCTGTCGGGTTGTGAAGACTGCGAATGAGACTCACCCCGAGAGCAAACGTGAGTTTGGCTTCATGCAAGTAGCAGCGAGGCAAATGCGCAAACAGGACCAAGTGAACTTTTCGTAATAAGCTTGTAATAGTTGGCCGTTACAAGCTATGACGCCCACCGTTGGTCAGAGGTGTAAGCCCGCTCTGCTGACCTGCGGTGGGTCATTTATTCGTCCACCCTCAGATTTCATGAGATTGTGCCTTTTAGGTTGCCCCCTTCGGTGCGTTAAGGTCCATTGGCGGTGACGCTGGTCTCTGTATAACTCGTGTCTGGCGACTGTTGATGTGTAACCGCCAGTTTCTACCAGTTGATGATCAATGCGAAGTTGGCGCGGCCAGAGGCGAAGAAACACACATTCTTTCGCATGACCGCTTCCGTGGTTTTACTGAGTGCACAATCATCCGCGAAGAGTTGGCTGTGGTTTGGGATATTCATGAGCGCCCTTTGTTGGGCATTTGTGCGCGGAATCGGCAGACGATCTTGATTTCCAGCATATTAGGAGGATAGTTCGACCATCATGCTCGACGATGTCCACCGTGAGCTCCATAGCGAGGTGAAGTAGGCACGGTAACTTGCACGTGATTTAGTTTATAGTTAGCGTAAACTTGCGCTACATCTGCCGCACTCTCTCCTCCTCCTCCCTCTGGGCCCGGTGTCAAGACGGAGTCAAGAAGACCGGAGGCGGGGGAGAGCGCAGGTGGATGGCACGGCCGAGCTCACACCCTGATGCTCCACTCCACACCGCCCCCGTCTACATAACAATTGATCAGGATTTTAATCAATAACATCAACGCTACGACGGATCAGAAGGAGGAGGATGGCTGGGCAGCCATGCGGACGACCCATATATCCAGCGGGAGCGCAAGCGCACCGACCTACGCTGATTTGCGGCACGTTGGGGGGAGGGGCTGTGTTGGGTGGCGGTTGATGCATGACCACCGTCTTCTGCCTGTTGATGACCAGATCAAAGTTTTCGCAGGCGGCGGAGAAGAGGTCCATGCTCCGTTGCATGCCCTCTTCCGAAGTGGTGTTGAGGGCACAGTCGTCGGCGAAGAGAAGTTCGCGAACGGTGGTTTTGGATTCGCGCGATTGGAAGTGCATCCGCCGTTGATTGAGGTGACCATCCGTCCTATAGGCGATGCGGATCCTGGGGCGTTCATCACGGTAGGCGTCCATCAGCATGGCAGAGAACATAAGACTAAAGAGGGTGGGCGCCAGCACACATCCCTGCTTCACTCATTTGGTCACTGCAAATGCCTTTGAGACGGCTCCATTGTCCGCGACGCGCGCCATCATGCCGTCGTGGAGCTGGGCGCACCATCTGAATGAATTGTTCGCTACAGCCGAATGTCTGCATGATCTTCCACAGTCCTTCGCGATTCACCGTGTCGAAGGCTTTCGTCAGGTCCACGAGCTCAGATTACAGGTGGATCCGCATCTCCTGGCACTTCTCCTGCAGTTGTCGGGTGGCAAAGATCATGTCTGTGGTCCCACGATGACGGTGGAAGCCGCACTGGCTTTCCGGCATGACACCTTCTTCTGGGTGGCTGTTCAGGCGATTGAGAAGGATGCGAGCGAAGATTTTCCCAACGTTGTTCAGCAGGGAGATGTCTCAATGCTTGTCGCAGATTTGGCGGTCTCCTTTCCGCATGTATAGATGCACCACTGTGGCGTCTTTGAAATCCCGAGGGACTTCTCCTTGACGCCACATCTCCTGGAAGAGCGCCGTCAGATGATTCATGAGTTGGAGGCCACCGTGCCTTTAGATCTCAGCGGGGATCGCGTCTGCCCTGGGCGCTTTCCCGCTGGAGAGCTGCTGCACGGCCCTGATGGTTTCGTGGAAAGGGACGGGAGGTCGAGGTCGACCTTGGTCTCCACTTGCGGCAGACGGGCGATGGCGGCGTCGGAGGTGGTGGAGGGCGGCTGAGGACGCCTCAGAAGTGCTCAGTCCATCGCTGTGTCCTCTCAGTGAGGGGCGTATTGCGGTTAGTGCTGAGGAGAGGAACCGTGCCTTTGGTTGGCAGACCGTAGACAACCATGATCACAGCGAAGAAGTCCTGTCACTCATGCGGTCCGCGTACTCTAGGATCTCCTCGCCTTGTGAGTCGTCCAGGTGTCCTACAATTCCCGCAACCGCTCATGCAAAAGGTGGCGACTGCTTTAGAAGTCTGCTTTGTTTGCGTCGTTAAGGCGGTTGATGTAGGCTTTGTACAGCCGGCTCTCCTCGACAAGCAGACTGCTGATGGCGGCGTCTTTGTCGCCGAACCAGTCCTTGTCTTGACGGCATGCGCGACCGAGGACGGCCAGCGCCGTCGATCGGACTGAGTCCCGCAGTTGATATCAGCAGTTCTCCACGGAGTTGGTTTCGTCAGCGGCGGCGGCAGCAACGACTGGAAGGTTGTACAGTCGTTGAGCTAGCTCGTTGCTGAAACGGACATAGTGAGCATGCAAAGACAATAAGAAGCAATGACAACACAGGAAATCCAACAGAGCGACAATTAGCTCTCAACAAAGACAAACACATACTAGCAGACATAGATCAGGCGATAAGAAAAAGCAGAGCAAGGGCAGCAGATCAACCTTTGCTTGCCTGAGGAATCACTTACCTTGTGACCCCCTGCGGTGTTCCAGACGAGCCTCTTCAGGGCCATGCCGATCCATCCGGTCAGCGGAATTCCCATTGCCGTGAGCGCGGATGCACACACGGATACCCTCACCTGGTTTAGCCCGCCGGTCGGGTCGGCTACCGGGTTGCGGTCTCTAGGCAGAGCCTAGGTTCGGGGGGCCACATATGAGAGTTGAGTGCCAGCGAGTGGACGCTAGGCGTCGACTGCACCAGCAAGCAAGTGAACGACCTGCTACGACCGTCACGTGAACCCACCGCTGGACACCCCTACACCCCGGCACTACCCATAAAGCCGTATATTATAAACATGTCCGGAGATAGGAAGGGTGCTTGATGGACTCAGTGAACTTCTTTAAGTGCGCCCGCGCCTGTAAATTATGAAAAATTATTTGCGAATATTGAGTCTCCAAACCCTTCAGTTGCAGGTGGATTCCAGACGTTGCAGTAGGTTGGGCGGGTAACTTGACCCAAATGTGATTAAACTTGCGTCGTCCGGCGGGGCCTCGTAGCTCAGGAGGTTAGAGCGTTGGCTGCGCTAAAGCCTTCCCCTTTCTGCGTGGGTTCGAATCCCACCGAGGCGCCGAGATTTTCACAGTTGGGTCATTATGAATTAGTCAAAATCTGTCAAAATGTCAATGAAATCCGGTTACGACAAGAGGGCATCTTCTGCTAAACTTTCATATCAATTTTTAAAACGAACTTGGCGAGTGTTCTCTGAGATTGTTGCTAGGAGCGTTTGTGGGCTCATAAGCGCAAAAGTTGTGAAACGGAGAGGCGAAGAGATGCAGATCTGATTTTCGTCTGCATAACATTTCTAACCACTCATTTGCTCTCGAGGATGTTTATCTACCCCTACGGAACGACTACGTTCACATGGCCGTAATGCTGTCATACCGATTACCCATGAAACGAATTTCGCTTTAACTATCCTTGTTCTCTCTCTCTCTTGATTTGATGGTTCCCACTATTTTGGGTTTGATAGCATATATAGCCTCACCCTGTCCTTATCTGGGTGACTCTGGAGGGAACTCGACGCCGGCCGATGTTTAGGAATCTCAATATCGCCCAGGACGGCCGGCACATACCTTTGCCTTGTCTAGTTCAAAGGCATGGTCCAGTGAAGTTTCAAATTTTCGGAAGTTGAACAAGTTAACCTCTTTTAAGCAGCGTTCAACACTGGGATCATCCGGCACTCAGCAAACACAGTACGCTCCCCAGGGCCTCATAAAGAAGTAGCTTAACCCTTTGTGCCAACACTAGTAACGAACCCCATTTTATAAATGAAGCAGGACGTCTAGCATCCACATTCCCCGTGGAATCCTGGCATGAGTGTGCATAGACTATACTTCAACCTGCGGCTCGCTGGAGATCTTTTCACCTCAGATCCTTCTTTGGATGATTCGAAATCAACAACAAGGAAACACTCTTGTTTTGGATCACGAGTAACTTGGAGATTGGTATGCAGTAGTAGAATTTTGTTTCTTCGACTTAGCCTCCCTCTTCCGCCAGGCGATCAGTTGGGTCTGTTAATCGATGGACCAACACATAACACGAACAACGACACATATTTGGAAAACTGGAGTCAGGCTAAACCCTATTGGTGACCCCGACGTGATTCGAACACGCAACCTTCTGAGATGGAGTCAGAGTCAGAGAAGCGAGCCATCCCTATCCACAGCGCCACTTCGGGTGGCGTGCATCCCAGTATCCTGCGTATGCGCTTCCTTTATAAATTCAGACAGCTTGAAATCATGTGTAGCCTTCTTCTGCATTTTCCTCCCTCAAACAAAACACCGCCCTAAGTTAAAACCGGACGTTTTCGAGACCACAAAACTGTTTACACAGCCAGCGGAAAGTATCTAATTCACATTTCCTGTAAGCTTCAAATCGCCCAGTGATCTAAATTTCTCCCTAAAAAAAACAAATCGCACTCCACTTTAAGTTTCTGTTCTAAATGCCAGGACTCTGCCAAAGTAAACTGAATGTCTCTGCTTCAGACAGTGGTTTTTATACACGGTCTAGACATTGCTTTTTTGACGGAGACATGGGCGACGCCTTCCTTGGTGGGCTCAGAGTTCTTGCCTTCTGGCTGCAACCACAATCGAACTGGTCGCAAATGAAGTCGGGGGGAATTTTGTGTTTCAGCCGTTGAACTTTCCATGTCTTTCCGCGGTAGATTGTGGCTACTGGTTTCCAATTCACACTGAGGAATAAGTTAGTGGAGCCCTTCCCCCTCCCCCCCCAAGCCAGGATTTCGATGTCTGCCTATCGGAGGCCTTTCATGCCTCAGGCAGCTTAGACTAGATTCATCTATAAAGTATGGAAGACTTTAATCTTCCTAAAGTTTTCAAACATCCACGCCCCGTTCCTAAAGGGTAGGAGACTCCGCTCGAAAACCTGGATGTCAGTATACTGCATCAGGCTGTGAATTTTTTAATCCCCGGATCAAGCCTACTTGATATAATTTCCCGCTAAGGGCGACTGCCCCCTCGTTGTCATACGTAGGTTTCCTTGAAAGTTACGACTATAACATCTTTGTCTCCACATGTGACATTGTTTCTGATAAATACTATGTTATCACATATTGTTTACAAGGTTTACAAACATACTTTAGACTCCAAGACTGCGTCTACTTCTCCGTTAACTCAGATGTGATTTTTTTCACTGCAGAACTTTACAATGTTTTAAACTCGCCTATTCCCAGTGTTGTTCTCTGTGAGGACTAACTGTCCGTACTAACGTTTTCCGACCAATATGCTTTCGTCAAAAACTGCGGTTACTCTCCCGTCGTTTCCGCCCCAAAAACATCATTCCAGTTCTACCCTCCGTATGTAGTATTTCTGGGAGAACTGAGATTCTTTCGCAAGGAAGGCAGATCGCCGAAAACCCTGTTCAGTGCTGCAAAGACTTTTTACCATACGATAAGGGCGCATGAAAATACCAAATATCCCATCGTTCAGTCTGAGTTTAGAAATCCACTAGCCGATGTAAAGGTGATCTTTTACGGGTTTAGTGTGCATTTGTCCAAAAACTCTATTGAAAACTTGGACGGGCCGGTTCCGAACATCCAAGTTCATCCTGATGCCATTTTCAAAATTCAAAATTTTATTCTTTGGGGCGTAACTGTAGTCGTTCAACATTTTCGACGGTAACCTAGCCCAGACCCCGATGGCGTCGCAGTCAGCGTTTTAAAAATCGATGCCATTGATAGGTTTGTGTCCCTCTTCTGTAAGACATTTAAATTGGCTCTCGAAAAGAAAATCCTTCGAAGATTATGCATCCCGGCTTTTCCTAGACGACAGCCGTTCTCCATTATCTGGCTTCATTCAGCCAAAAGCAACTTTCTGGGTACTCCAAAGGGCCTGGAAACGCCAATCAAAGATAAGATTGTATGTCATTTAACAGTTAATAACCTACTGAGTAGGCAGAATGTTATTACTGACGAAGACTAGGAAGAATGGAATGATCATTTCTGGCTTTTTAGCCGTCGTCAGCCAGTCACACCCAACTCTGAAGTATGGAACACCTGGGGCTCGATCCCGTGACGTGTTAGTTAGAAGTCCAACGC